GAAGAGGACGCCGCACCAGCCGGCACATCAAAATTCAAACCCCTCTTCATCCCAACATCATCAACCTAATGGGATTCCCGCCCACCGCTCCTCTTGAGCAATCAATTGCCGTTCACTGAATGTTCACTCTGCGTTGCTGAAACAAAGAGTCATGTGCAAGCACACGTCATCCATATTTTTAGTGATAGTTCGCTTACGTCAAGTTTCCGGCAAATTGTCTTTTCAATTTCAGAAATTGTGAAGTGATCTATGAAAAGCCTTTGGATAGACTCTCGTTTCCTGTCCAGCCGCGTCTGCATCGAAATCCTTCAGTCAGTAGGGCGCCAGAGCTGCGCTAGCATGCAACTGGGCAGGAAGTGCCATGTAGTGTTGTCCTCACAGCTTGAACCGACTTGGACACTCATCCTGGGTCATTGGTGAGTTCGTTGCTTTCTCAATTTCTACTCTTCACACCTCTGTACCCCACTTGGGGGCATTCATCTGGCTTCAATATCTAAACTTCCCCTCTTGGTGCCTGTCACCAATTTCCTGCATTCATTCGCTTGGCCTCAAACACCTCTGGCCTCTTAACAACTTTTTGTATGCATCTCAACTTGGTTTCAATGTCTAAGCTTCCCCCTTTGTCTCTCAACAACTTCTTGCGCTCATCTGGTTTCAATATCTAACTTCCCCCCTGTGCCTCTCATCAAACTTCCTAAACTTCCTGCAATCATTGGGTTTTAATATCTATACTTCCCCCGTAGCCTCCCCATAACTTCTTGCGTTCATTTGTTTTAATATCTCAGCTTCCTCCCCGGTGCTCCTCAACAACTTCCTGCACTGCATTCATCTTGCTTCAATATTCCCGGTGCCCCTGAGCAACTTCCTGCATTCATTTGGTTTTAAATCTGGTTCCACCGTGGCCTCCTAAAGTTCCCCCCACCTGTGCCTCTCAGCAGCTTCCCGCATTCGTGCGGTTTCAATATCCAAGCTTCCCCCCCTCGTCTCTCCACAGCTTCTTGCATGCACCGTCATTTGGGTTCAATATCTAGACTCTAGACCTTTGCTTCTCGTCTTAGCAGCTTCTTGCGCTCATCCTTGTTTCGATGTCTAACTTCCCCCTCTCCCACCTGCCTCTCTCTCACCAATTTTCTGCGGTCACCGGGCTTCAATATCTACATGTTCCCCCGTTTCTCTCAACACCTTCTTGCGTGCATCTTGTCTCAATATCTAAATCCCCCCACCCTGTTCCGGCATTCATTTTCGGGTCCCAACCAAAAATTCACCTCAGCATTTTTTCCATGTATCTTCCTGCGTCTTCATTTCGTTTCAATGTCTGGGCTTCGCCCCTCATCTCTCAACAACTTTTTGCGCTCATCCGGTTTCAATATCGAACTTTCCCTTCCCCCTATGTGCCTCTCAATTTCCTGCATCCATTTCGCTTCATACGTAGACTTCCCCCCTTAGCCTCTCCACCACTTCTTACGTGTTGTTGTTGTTTCAATATCCGAATTTCCCCGGCATCAACAACTTCTTGAATGCATCTTGTCTCAATATCTAAATTCCCCCACCCTGTGAGGTCCAAAAACACGTGTACGGGTTCAAAAAAGAAGGCGCCAAGGTCCAAAAACATGGTCAGAGCGCCCGCAGGAGCGCTGTACTGTTTGCGATTTTCAAAATGCATTTCTTCACATCTTATCAACAAAATTGTAGAAAACGCATGATTTTGGACACTTATCATCAAAAATTCTTGACATGCACATGTGCAAAAACGTGGAACCGCGCGCTCAAAATGAGTGCTTTCATCAGAATTCTGGTTTCCCATGTATTTGCAGACACCGTCGGAAATCGCGTGAATTTCAAAACTTTTTTTTCTACTTTCCATGCCGTTTGTCTTTGCAGAGCTTACCCAGGCTCTTGAAAACGTGGCCCTCATTGAAGCGACGCCAGTCCACGCCATAGGTATTTCCACAATGCGATTTCTTTGATTTTCCCTTTGGATAGCAGGTTATATGTTACGCCAGCGTACATGACAACCCCACCCCACTTGCAGACGTGTTAGCAACGTAGCCAGCGTGGCAGTACATGTGTGCCGCAAGTGTACATGAACGTAGCACAGCGTAGCAGGTCATATAGTACGCCAGCGTACATGACGTTATCACACCCACCCCACCCCACCCCAACCCCACACCCAGGGTCAGCGGTGATGAGAGGAATGTTGAAAAAATGAGGAAAGCGTTGCGCTCCTCGAGGCGCTCACACCAAAAACATCCAGCCCAATGTGAGCGCCTGTAACAATGGAGTTCCCCCCAACCCTGTGGAGGCAAGGTCCACGAAGCAGGTGCACGGGTCCAAAAAACAGAAATCCCCGGGTCCAGCACAAATACATGCAGGTCCAAAAAAATATCCCCACAGGGTCCAGAAAACACACAGGCAAGTCCCCCACATTTTTTGTGACCCTAGGTCCCAAACAATTCCGGTTAGGTCCAAAAACATGTACAGGTCCAAAAAAAGGGTGCCCAGGTCCAAAAAAATGCATCCCCTTTTGAACGCTGCTCAATTCTTGAAGATTACTATATGTTCCAGATCCATGGCTGAATATTGAGGTCCACGCTTAGAAGGTTCAAATTTGAAGATTTATGATTTATAATTTATAATTAAATGTCGAAGAACGAGGATTGAAGACTTGAAGGCTTTCGGATCACTGCACTTTAAGGTTTGCCATCAAATACACTCACAAGGTTCTGAAATGGGACGGACCAGGGGTAGTCGATCAACCATCTGCGAATCGCGCAATGGCACACTGGGAATACATGTCGGAGCAAACAAACATTCAAAAAACTTTGGAATGCTCAAAAACGGCAATTCCAAAACGCTGCTGAGCCGTGGCATCTGGGGCAGCCGGCTAGATGCCACAGGCCAAAACTGAAGGAACAAGACGAAAAAATGTCTTCAGAACAAAACATACAAAGACCGGGAAAGTAACACATGTGTTATTGCCCGTGGAAAAGCATACCTATTTCCACGGCACCGCCAAGCAATACGTAACTATGGAGCAATAGTCGCAGGGAATCCGGCAAATTCATCGTGCGATTCTGCATGCGATCCCTCAGGTCTGCCCTGTTGTTCCGGCTGCTACCTGCGTTTACTTGTTGAGCTGTCAGCCCCTGCCATGTTGTAATTTTCTGGCAACGTTCTTGCTTGGTTGCATTGTTCTCCGTGTGCGGTTTGTCCGGCCGTCTCGGTGTGTTGCTGTCCTGCAAGGGCCTATATCATCCTATGTCTATGGTTCAACCTTCTTGCAGAATGGGGCCGTCCCCCAAGGTTCAACCAGGCAAAGCGGCGCACTGAGACAGCAACACGTAGAAATGAAAAGCTACACATTTTGACGAATATTGATGAATTTAGGAAACCAGTAGTTGTATGCTTCCTACAAATATCCCCGGCTGAGGCCGCCGCGCGGTACAACAAACTGCAGTGACTCACAAGTTCTTGGAAACATGGAAACGACACTTGCATAAAAAGGGCGCGGTCATTGAGTCATCTCGGAATCAAATTATCACGTGAACCATGTCAAATTGTTTTTCCAAGAGCGTCTGGCGTCTGTAACTACAGGGTAAGCGGCGGATAGAACGCTCAGGGTTTTCTGCTTTCGTCCATTTTTTGGACCCTCTCAAATCCTGCGACAAACTACTTCGTTTTATCAATGTTGTATCTGTAAGTGTGTATTTCTTTCTATCACAAGCTTTGCAGGACGTGAGTTAAATTTTGATACACTCCAACTTCGCGAAGGGAAGCGTTCAAAGACTACCATTAAATCCTCATGAATCCCATCACTTTAACTCACAAACAATGGAATTGTGGTCAAAGCCTTTAAATAAAACTGGGACATAGTCAGGCAACAGCATCACATCCAGAGCGTGTCTCAAATTACTTCGAAAAGTACAGAACATAACATCAAGAGCGTGTGAGAAGTTCCTTGAGGGAGTGCAGAGCGTAACATCAAGAGCGTGTTGGACGTTGCCTGAAGAAGTGCAGAGCGTAACATCAAGAGCGTGTGAGAAGTTGCTAGGAAAAAGTGCTGAGCGTAACATCAAGAGCGTGTGAGAAGTTGCTAGGAAAAAGTGCTGAGCGTAACATCAAGAGCGTGTGAGAAGTTCCTTGACGAAGTGCAGAGCGTAACATCAAGAGCGTGTGAGAAGTTCCTTGAAGAAGTGCAGAGCTTAACATCAAGAGCGTGTTGGACGTTGCCTGAAGAAGTGCGGAGCGTAACATCAAGAGCGTGCGAGAAGTTGCTAGGATAAAGTGCTGAGCGTAACATCAAGAGCGTGCGAGAAGTTGCTAGGAAAAAGTGCTGAGCGTAACATCAAGAGCGTGTGAGAAGTTGCTAGGAAAAGGTGCTGAGCGCAACATCAAGAGCGTGTGAGAAGTTCCTTGAAGAAGTGTAGAGCGTAACATCAAGAGCCTGTTGGACGTTGCCTGAAGAAGTGCGGAGCGTAACATCAAGAGCGTGTGAGAAGTTGCTAGGAAAAAGTGCTGAGCGTAACACCAAGAGTGTGTTAGGTAAGAGCATGTTCCACGCACTCTCAACATGACGTTAATACCCCCGCCCCCTCCACCCCACCCCATCGACAGAGCAAGACCGCTTGAGAAAAAGTAGAGGAGAAACAGGAAAACGCACGAAAGCTGGCGGCGTTCTATCCGCCGCCAGCCAACTAGGTAAGCTAGGCAAGAACGTGTTCCACGCACTCTCAACATGACGTTAATACCCCCACCCCCTCTACCCCACCCCATCGACAGAGCAAGACCGCGTGAGAAAAAGTAGAGGAGAAACAGAAAAACGCACGAAAGCTGGCGGCGTTCTATCCTCCGCCAGCCAACTACATGTATTGTATGTGTTTGCACGTTTTTTGGGTACACCTACTGATGAATTATAGAGACACCTTTGCATATACCTGAAAAAATACAACAAACTACTCAGCATGAAAGGTTAAAACAGTCCATATACATTTTGTCTGGTTCAAAAATCAAATTGTGAATATATTGTTGTCCCATCTCCTACATTTCTTCAATGTGAAACTGCGGCCAGTATGCAGTGTCATGGTGCCCGTGCGCTTATTTTTTTGTCACTTCACAAATTTGGGGATCGAAGTCTGCTCGACGATGGTGCGCTATACACCGTGGCGAGCAATAGTCAAAGCCTCTCAGTTCAGCGCATCTCAACGCAACAGTGCGGACAGCTTCATGTTGTCTAAATGCGGCTTTGCTAACTTTCAAACTTTCTTAACAAGCCTCAACAGGTGCGACAATCTTTAAGGCTGCGACCCATCTTGCTGAAGTGCTCACCCTCCACCTTCCTCAGCCAATTTGAAACCCTTCAAGAGCCGCTTGCTTCTCATCACCACTCTCATCACAAACACTTGGGTCTCAAACTTCGTTCCACACCAGTGGCAAGGAATCTCGTGAATGACCTGCAAATCCGTGGCTGGATGCAATTAATCCGGAACGTCCAAACGATCTACCTCCTTCCATCTCCTTCCATCTCCTTCCATCTCCTTCCACAAGCCTTCATCTGTGCCTGGCTGTTCCTAGCTCAATCCCTTTCTGCTTAAATGCCTAAAAATGTCCTCGTTGCCCTCCGACGGTGTTTTGTGCTTCTTTTCACCGACATGCAATGACACAAACAGAACGATCCTTCTGATCGGCTCCATCCGATCATCCCATTTTAAGCATTTCCGTGTGTAGCGCCACAGCGGCCATAGCGATGTACAGTAGCAGCTTCATGACTCCAAGCTGAAGCAGTGGCAACCGCGGCAACCAAACACAATCCAGCAAAGATCAGCAGAGCCTTCTCAGGGGCCAGCGGAGCTACCCATGGATAGCTCAAGAATGCTACAGCATTGGCAGTCAATTGGGAGGGCTCTGCTCTGCCTCTGGAAAGATGAGAAACACACAAAGCAAATAGTGACATTTCAAAAAAAGAGCACAGCCGCATCAAGACAGCCAAACAAACGCCATCCACTCGACTCCGGGTTCTTTTAGATTCTTTTAAATGGCTCTAAATTGTTCCAAAAATTCTTCTAACACGTTCGAATTCTAACCCTTCACCGAAGCCTGTGACATCCGACTCAACCGATTCATGACCGATCCATTCGGTTATGGCAAGCGACATGCAGTGGCAAGCCCCATCCAAGCCAGAAAAGGCAAAGAAAAGTCCCAATTCTTCCGGACCTCCCTGACTCACCGCTTTCGATAGGGAGAACTTATGGAACAAGTATGGAACATTCCAATGATTCCAATCTATAGGTTTATAGCAGCATGTAAATATATTTAGATGAATTTAGATCCTTTTGTGGCATGACCTATGAGCGGTACATGTATTTGGTCAGTGAGCCTGCAGAGACAAGATCCACGGCATAGCCAAGGCCTTTCATACGAAGGAGGGGCAGCCAAATGCACGCACAAATTATTTCACTCTTCAACAGCTCACGAAATCGAACGGAATTCAAAGGCCATACGCTGCAAAACGTCTCTCTCTCTCTCTCTCTTCATGCATATCATGCATATCTGTTTATCTCTGTCTATCTCTGTCTATCTCTGTCTCTCTTTCGAGCTTTGTTTCGGATTGTTTCGGAAGGGGCCCTGGATGGCCCTGGTGCCTGGCCCTCCGTATGCCGTGAGGTCTGTCCGAAAGCGCAGACCACTGCTTGTGAGTGAAAGCAAATCAGTGGCGGCATGGAAATCCTGTTCCGTCCTGGCAAAGGCGAAAGCAAACGAAGTGGATTGCGGATTGCTGACAATACTCGGCAAACATTACGCCAATACACTTCCAATCAAGCACCGCAAACGACCTGTCCAAGTCCAACAACGACCTGTCCAAGTCCAACAAACGTGCCAAACAAGTTGGACTGTGAGGTAATGGCACACCATGCACATCTGATTTCGGGAAATTTGCAACTCAGGACATGAGCAACTTCATCTCGGGTTCTCTTCTTATCTGACGGAGATTGGTAAACTCTGCACTGTGAATTGCGCAGCCTGCGAAACGAATAGCTGTCCCTCAGAAAGCGTCAAGAAAAATTTCCCCCTCAGCCCTCGTCCTTAATGGCCTGCGGTAGGGATATTCCTGCACCGCGTCAAAACTCTTCAAACGATATGATTCTGATTGGATGCTGGATGATATTGGCGATATTGGCAAGCGATATGTGTGTCTGAGTGCAGCATGATGCGTTGGCTTCGTTTGGTTCGTTTGCTTGTTCGCTTTGCGTTGTCTTTTCTTTGCTCCACGCGGTTGTTGTTCTTCCTCGTTCTTCCTTGTTGTTGCACGTTCCTCCCGGTTTCTTCCTTGGAGCTGCCCAAGTCCTGCCCTACCTCTGCCGCCATTTTCTGCATCTGTGGATCTGTTTTGAATCTCTTTGGAATCCCTGTCATCTTTCTATATCTTTGCAGTTCCGTGTGCCGGTCCTTCTTGTTGTTCTTGTTGTTCTTCTTGTTGTTCTTGTTGTTGTTGAGTAAAATTCTTTACTCACCAACGCGGACCACAGTTGTCAATCGTGACTCTCCAAGGTTATTTGGACTGTCAATAAGCACCTCCAAATATTGGAAAATGATTACATTGAGCCAATTGATGGAAGATGTTTTCGGTTGCTTGCATCTTCGGCTTTCAAAATGCTTTCAGTGAAGCGGTCCTGCCAAGAAATGTCGGCAGCACCTGCAGGTGCACTAAAGCCAATGAAAGCGCCTCGCGCCTTGAGACAGGTGAACAAATTTGCCAAAACTTTCCAAAACTGCCGTCAATTGCAGTGACAGCCAGGGCTGCCAGGGACGTCGATAATTGAGATCCAGAGGGAACTGACAGATTGAGTGCTCCAAAACTTGGGCATTCATTGGCATTCATCATGTCATGCTGTCAGGGTCATATCTGATAGCATCTGGTAGCATCCGCTAGCATCTGCAAACAACCGGCCGCCAGGGGCTTTACATGGCTTTACCAGGCTGTACTGCTGCCTGGAGCTCAGCGACAGACATAGGACTCGTGATTGGGACGTCAAAGAATGCACAGCGCCTCACAAACACGGGATGTCAACAATGAACTCAGGCATGAATCCCCAATGCTTTGTTTCTTTGCAACATTCTGGAATAACTCAAGCAAAGAACAACTCGCCGCTTTTGAGAACATGTTGAGAACATGTTTGGTTTAGTGTTTGAAAAGCTGGGTTTCTGCAATGCAGGCGCAAATCTTACGAACATCCAAATTAGCAGAGGCCGCTTAGACATGACTCCTTGGAGCCATGGCCGGTCCTCCAGATTGCTCCTTCGAGAAGCTGCAGGGCATCGTGGGAGATTTCACCCACCAGCAGAAGTGGTGCTTGCGAGACCCTGTGTGCCTGGCGATCCCCCGAATCCCCGAGCTCCAATGCTGAGAAATGCTGAGAAACATGAGATAATTCACGTGAAATACTGGCGAGAACAATATCATGTTAGCAGAATGTTAGCATAATGAGGCATAATGTGATATCATTGCTCTAATCTTTGTATTTTAGAACGTCCACATTCTCAGTCTTGTCACAAAATGTCCTGCAAGTCAACAGACAGTCATCTAATTTCAATTTTAGCTTCATAATCTGTTGCAAAATCATAATCTAAACAAAACTCAACCCTGCGGAACCACTGTGAACCCTCGAAAAAGTGGAACTTCGACGCCTCAACCGCTGCTCTCAGGCTTTGGAGGTCAGCTGCATCGATTTCTCCGATAAAACCAGGGAAGAGACCACCCTCTGCGTCCGCGTCCGTCCTGATCCCCGAGGCCAACTGGGAAACCACCTTGGAACACTGAAGCCGTCACATTGCCATCACATTGCCATTGCTTTAGCAACGGATCCAACTTGCTGCGGCAGCTGCGTGTTTTCACATTTCCGGATATCTTCTGCGCAGTTTCCCATTCGTTTTCTCGGACCTTTCGTCATGTTTTTTCCCTCCGAACTAGGAAGCTTTGTTCAGACTCACGGCCGGTCAAATGTGCTCCAAGTTATGTCCAAGGTGCTGTTGCGACTTGAACTTCAAAGTTCGCATCCTGGCCGTTGGGGCCCTTGGGGCCCTTGGTGCCGTTGGGGCTAACCTTACTGAAGCTTTCTGGTTGCCAGGCCTCTGGAGGGGCTATCCCAAGCACCTGGGTTTGGCAAACTGAAGAGACATGATGATTAATGATGATTAATGATGATTAATGATGAGTCATAAGTCTTCTATCTTAGACTATCCTCATGATTAATATGACTAACGAAGATTATGAAGAGTATTGAAGAGTCTAAGATAGTCTAGTCGAAGATAGTCTAGATAGTCTAAGAAGAGTTTTTCGAATCTGGCCAAGTGCTGTGTCGTGACTTCTCGGTGTGTCGTGAAATGTCGTGAACCAAGGTGCAATGTGAATTTTTGCTTCGGCTGCAACTTTTCTCAGCGCATCCGCAGTCTGCTCGACATCGTGTTGAAACCTGCGAGGTGTTGACCTGACGTGCAGAGTCGTCAACTGGGGCGTTAACATGTGTCACATTTTTGGAAACAACTCCACCACAACATGTTCATCTCAACTTTCTTAGCGATTAACATCGGTTGTTGAGTAACCGACTTAAAGATAAATACATCCACTTCTACATGTTACATTGGATTGTACAGTAGTTACTGTGTCAAGTTTCAATATCAGCCAATACCACTGATCTTGTTGTGGTGTCTGTAGTAGATGCCTTTGAATAGTATCAAATACCATGTACGATATGTATGATGTGCTACTAAGCAGTTTGTTCTTTGGATATTTTAAATACCGTTTACAATGCCATGGTGCATCTATTAACATCTACTATGGATATTACTATGAATATCTATGGGCATCTATGGATATTATCGATCATGCATCCATACATACCATAGTGCCATAGGTCCATGCCATTGGTACCGTTGTACCGCTCGATAACATCAGAAACGAGCGACACCGCGACCAGAGCATCCCCGTGAGCTCGGTGAAGCTCTGTGGCCTCGAGTAAACCGTCAACGAAAACGAGGTGTGATAACCATAAACCATCCTGAACTATCATACAGAATCATACATCATATTATACATATACAATATAATTATATTATATATATAAATATTACATCTATATTTACAACTAAATGATACTAAATGTACATATGAATCATATGAATGAACATGAATAAACTAAATGTACAGTAAGCGTCGTGGAAACCTGCTGACAGGCAGAATCCAAGCCTCGCGAAGTGCATCCTCTTGATTCAAATGGAGGTTGGACAGAGAAGACAATGGATATCTTCTCACTCTGGCAAGACCTCAAGGAGGAAGATATCAGGAAATGATTTCTGAAGGTCAAATCAGATAGAACTTAGAACACTGTTTCCTCTGTTTCTAGCTAAACGTGGATGAATCCTGGATGAACCTTCGCATGAGATGCCTGACAGACTGACAGCCTCGTGATGCGTTTGTTTGACTCTTTGGCTCGTGCAGTGAACGATGCTGACATGTGCTGACAATATCTGACAATGAGCCAAAGTAACCAAAGTCGAGACTTTGGCACCTGACATCACCTGACTAAGTCCTAAGTCCTAAGTCGCCTAAGTCGTGAGTCCTATATAAGTCCTGGACTCTGAAGCTCAACCAGGTCTGTGCTTGACCTGGGATCCTGCAAGCTACAACGGGGAAGACTGAAACCAGAATCAAATGGGATTCAAATTGATTTCAGGCTATGGGGGTGCAGCAAAACCACATAGCCTGAAATAATCTAAAAAAATATAAAGTCCATCCAGGAATCCAGAGCCGCTCTCTGCCTTCGAATGCTTTCTGAGCTGGGATTGGTCGTTGATGAGCCATTCCTTGCTACTTCTGATTCAAAGAACGTGGGGTACAATGTGTACAAACACGCATCATGCACTGCACCGCGAAAGAAATCGATGCTAAACACATCTTGATGCTATTGAGTCACTTTTGGAAGTGTTGCTGCGGATGTTGTCATATGTTGTCATGCGTTATCATTCTGTCGTCTGAGTCTCTGAGTGCATGTGTAGATACATCGTAGCTACATCGTAGCTACATCGTGGCTGCTAGCTGTTTGTCATCCTCGCCAAGGAGCCCTGCACAGAGCGGGTCCAGATACTTCAGCAGCTGCGACAGGTCCAGCCTCACAAGGTAACGCAAGCTACGAGACCAGTTCTCGGTGCGTATTCCACCAAAGTATACAAAAGCCCACAAACAACCCTGTCCTCAAAAAATCCTTGTGCCTTTCATGTAAACCGATTCCTTGCTTAGAGAAAGGCCTCTCCTATCCTTCTCACACATCAATCCAATAGCTCTGCTATGTCAGGAATAGTAGCAGAAACAAACACATCCAACCGCAAAATGCCATCATAGAACTATTGCAACTCAACGGAAAGACTTTGACTTATCCGCAAAGGAGTGCCCGTGAAAGAAGTGCCTAGCAGGCCTAGCATGCTAAGACAAGAAACATCCATGAGAAAGGAGGAAGAAACACATTCTGGGAGTCTGGGAGCCCAAGCGAATAAGGAAATGCAACGAAAACACATGATCGTCTACCATCATGTACCAAAGCAGACCGTTGCTTTGCGTTGTTCTTCCCTGAGCAGCCGCTGACCCCTACGCCCTACCCCAGCCAGTCAAACTATGACTTCTCAGGGCGAAGCCAGGGTCATGATCACATCAGATACATCAGACATGTCTGACCGCGTCTGACCCACCCAACTGACTCTACGCAAGTGACTTTTGCAGGAGTCCAGGTAGACATGTTACACTTGCAGGGTGTTTGCTTTAGCTGCTTCCGGAAGGCACAGCACTGGTGATATGAAAGCTAAATAGCTGACAGAAAACTTGAAGCTGGCAAGCTGTAGTGAAACCCTGCCGGAACTTGTTTGTAGGCTCCTCTATGGCTTTGGGTGATTTGAACACTGAAAGCTGCAGGACCTCCACATCGCAATGGCTCCCAACCTGAAGCAGAGTTTCATAGTTCGTACAATTCCATTCAATGATAGGGTGCAGGAATGAGACGTTTGAGGGCTTGATATGGTTTGATAGAGAGCAGCCCTTTAAGTTTTACGTTGATCACCACACTTCCAAGCGCGTTGTCAACATCATGAACGCGAACCCGTGCGAGACAGGTGGCAATGCCTTGAACTTGGCAGACACTTCTGGCAAATGTTGATGGCAATAAATGGCCTATTAAAATCCAGCTGTGAAAGGCCAACAAGTAAACATGCCTATGAATCACAAGATCGGAAAACCATCGCCCAAACGACTTCCAATAATTATAGTGAAATATTGCAGTGATGTAATGATTAATACAATTGTCTCCATTTCTACCTCATTTCATGCACATTGCAATCCTGCAAATAAGGCCTTTACAAAATCCACCTGAACGATGCACGCTGATTTTTCTCCTGCAAGCTGTCATCTGTCCAACGTTGGATCTCGACTGGCCTCAAACCGGCAGCTCGTTACTATATGAAGGCGGATTTTCCTGCTAACGTTCCAGCACATGTTGGAGCACATGTTGGCGTACACTGCCTGTACTATGCGCAGGAATATTCATCCATGCAGAATCTATCTGAATCTATCTACTAATCTATCAGTCTTTGCAACAATTTAGCTATAGTAGCTCATTTCATCTGGTCCATTTTTCGTGTAGCTCTCTATTCGTCAACCTATCAAATTATATACATACAGCTGAAGCAACGGCAATGAGCAAACAGCGGGGTAGAGTGCTCCAGTCACGGAGATGCGAGGGCAAGAAACTAGGAATGCACATTGAGAATTCTGGTTGTGGGCCAAAGACTGGACATGACTGGACACTTCTTGCAACTGTGAAACAACGAAAAAAAGCACGGACCATTGTCAAGGCTTAACCGTTAAACCGTTGAGCCCATATGCATACCAAACCTACGGGAGCGCAATGCCCCCCCCATCCTAAACATCCAACCTGCAAGAACGCGCTAAAAATTCAAAGAATTGCATTGATTGAAGTCATTTGAAGTCAGTTGAAGTACATCTTCCAACAGTCTTGACATGATATTGAAGTATACTGTCATTTTCTTTGAAGTATATTGAAGTTTCAAGCTGGCGACGAGTTGATCGAAACGTCGAACTGCAACTGCTCGCTGCTGATCCCATCACCTGTGTGTCTTCTGTCTGCACCGTCATGCACCGTCATGCACCGTCATACTGCCCTCAAGGTTTGACATAAAACCAGATCTTACCAAACAAGAGCTTGACAAGACCCGCACAACACAGTTGCTATATGTTGCAATGCTTTTGCCGTGACTAGTGAACTAGTGGGACCTTTCCATAGGACTCATGCAACTCAACTTTGTCTGTCATTTTGACATTGTGATGAATACTGGGTATGCAGAATCTTCTCGCCTTCTTCTCTTCATGTGCCAGTTTTTCGATCAAAGAAGACCCTGCGACCTTCCAATGAGCTGGTTGGACTGCAAGCACAATGTTGAATCAGCTGTGTCAAAGACAACTCTGAGAATTGAACTTTGATGAGTCCCGGCCATCAACCAGTATGTTCCGGCCATCTTCAACCACTATGCCTATGACATCCTACTCTCAGATTGTGGCAAGCAACACCTCTGACATTCTATGATTTGCCCCCATCTTGCAGCTTTGCCGCCAAATGTCCACATACGCTGGTGTTCAAATGGAGAAACTTCTCATGGCCAAACAAACCGAAGAAACACATACCCCAGCCAGCGCACCCTTTCACAAACACGTCGCTGGCTGCCAAGGCCAAAGTAGTTTCAAGTTTTTGGGAAGCAAAAGAGCGGAAGGTCGTGTGTCGTTCCGCTGTCTTAGCATATCGTTCTCGAAGATCTGCCACTGCTGCCACTGCGTTCAAAGTGTTGCCCTGCCCACGAGGTTCATGACGTTGACGCCCTTCACCGATCGAAGTAGCTTGTATCATGTGCCTCTTGGGACACGCGGCACTTGCCTCGCTGGCGCTGCCGTCCTTTTCTAATCCAGGGCCAAACTCAGCAAACTCAGCAAACTCAGGGATCTGACCACTTTGCAAGAGCCAAGGTGAGGGCAGAATCTCATCGAATGACGCACCCAGTTTTCGAAGTTCGGCCTTCAACCTTTGCTGCACCTCTTGGGGCAGCATCTTGTGCAAATCGAAACGCTCCCGTAAATCGCCCCTTGCTGTGACTTCTAATGGCTGGCCTTTCTTCACTTCCAAGACTTGCCAAGAATCGCGACATTTATCCAGGCTGTCCAACACTTTGTCACTTGAAAACACACTGCGAGATGTCGTGGCGGATTTTGATACAGCTTCCGACTTGCCAGAAGGAGCAGTTTCAACTTTCTCAAATGTTTCGCTGTTGGCAGCTTTCAGGACACTCCCCATCCATCGCCAAAAGAGTTCCTCTTTCTTTACATGCGAGGACCTGGATTCAATATCAGCTTCCAGTTCTTGAATGTGTTCTGACAAAAGGGCTGGACGCTCTAAAACAAAGAGTTCGTACTGCGTGGGCGGAGCAGGTGGCGTCTTCGGTTTGATCGGATTGGTTGGATTTGTCATAGCCATAGCTCTCTCGACGCTTTGGCAGGCTCTCGTGTGCAGCTTTTGCAAGACATCAAGGCGATGCGCATCCAGGTGTTGCAACCTTCTCATTTCGTTCTGCCACTTGGTGTAAATTTGAAGGACGTGAATGGAAGTATTTTTCTCTCGTGCAGCTTCACATCCAATACTTTGATGGCAGTTTGAAGTCGCTTTCTCCTCCTTCTGACTCCTGTCACTTCTGTCCGGAACACAGGAAATGTCTGGCGGATAGGGCGCCAGCTTACCGTGAGCAGAGAGCAAATCCATTGTGTCCAAGAGAAACCCAAGTGCCAATAGCAATTCGCGACTGCCACTCTCTGAAGGATGAGCCTGAGCGTTCTGAGCCTGATTCAGATTGTTCTCAGAGCTTTGGACAGCAAGTTTGTCGGCCCGTGGATATCCCAAGGCTGAAAGGGAATAAATGGCGGCATATTTAGGAATAAATGCTGGAAGCTGAAGACTTTGGTTAGTCTCGGGTTGCTCGTGCAAACCCTTGGAATTTGTTGGCATATCTCTTTGTAGCTCCAACAGTTGGATTATTAAAGCCCACATCCTAGGCATCACAGTTGGGTCATCATGTTTTGCGCGACGCATGCACTCAGCATCCATGTCGATGTCCGGCAGCTTTTTGCGCAATGTTTCACACACAAATTCGAGTGCTGCCCGGGTCTCAGCTGCATCAGCCATCTCCTGATCGCTCACGTGATAAGTCGAGGTGCGAGCACGAGATACAATGAAGGCAAGACATGGCGAGAGTTGTGGTGTCGGATTGAAGGCACCTGCTTGGCAAAGGCGTGCAAATATCTGGTGCAAATTCATTACAACAAAGATCAACAAAGTGTTCATGTTTCTGCTCGGTATTTCTCTTCAAGCAAGTCGCCTGCCTTCTTTGTTCTGGCTTGGCACAGTTGGCGTGCTGTTCCTTGACTAAGGATTTCCATGTTTAATTTGCCACAATCAGGCATAGCACATCTGCATTGAGCCAATCAAATTTCAAAACATTTCAGATTAGCAGGTGGACCATGCATTCATACGTATTCCTTGGTTTTCTGTCTGCCATCCTGAACCAAGAGAAGTAACGCCTTCTACCCTTGTATCAAATTGGGAAAGCAACTGCCACAACCAGCACTACCTGTATCAACTTCGGCCCCGTCTTGCGGGACAAACCAATCTTGATGTCAGCATCAATGTCTGGTGCCAATTCAAAGCGTTCCTTGAATTGTGCACACTGTGCACCCATCTTTATTTATTTTCTGGATTCGGAAATTCGGAAGATGCGCCATAATACTATACTTGATAGTTCAACTTTCCTTCCTCCGTTCCTCTCTCTATGCGGCTTGCCTGCGCTCTAAGGATCAAATCCTGGCATACGTTGCCCATGACATGTCACCAGGTTGATGCAAAAATAGGACTGTAAGTAAAAACGGTCTGCCATGTCACTGCGCTGTTTTGGGTTCAGATGCACTGGTCAAATATACCCAAAAAAACATGAATCTTCCAATCTCGAGTTCAAGTCCAATAACATTCAAATTTGGTTTTGTCTTCTTAACTTGATTCAAAATAATGATCTTTGCTGGGTGACGGGCATAATACAGCTCGAGGCGACCGGCAGGGAACCTCCTGAAAGGACGGAAGAAACATGCGATTTTTTTCATTTTTTCTGCCCAAAATCAAAGCAAAGACTGTCAACGGCAAACTTGAAGGGAAAATGGGAAAAGTGCCTCACACTGGTCAAGGGTTCCTAATAGGTTCCTGAGCTACCAGAAGGTTTTGAGATGTGGCGAAAAGTAGGCAAGGCTATATCCCGAATCACGACAGCATGAAATGCATTC